AAAACATTTTCATAATGGTTCAGACAGTTTAACCATCAAGATATTAATTATTGACCCAGCACGGTGGCACAGAGGTTAGCACTGTTGCCGCACAGCAAGAAGGTCCTGAGTTCAATTCCACATCAGGCTGGGGGCTTTCTGAGTGTGAATGGTTGTCTGTCCCTGTGTGTTAGCCCTGCAACAGACTGGCGACCTGTCCAGGGTGTACCCCGCTTTTTGCCCTATGACAGCTGGGATAGGCTCTAGTGCCCCCTGCGACCCTGAAAAGGATGGATGGATGAAAAATCTTCAAATCTTGTGAGCCAAAAAATCTACATCAGCCTTATAATTTCTACTTATTTAAGCTATCTGTCTTTGACTCAAATGTTTAACTTCCTGTAATACCATTAATTTTGCTTTGGGATAAATATTTACTGATATTTCACCAACAACACAGAACTACTGTGACATGGAAGAAAAAACATCTATTAGCATGTTTAGGCTGACTTTGAAGCAGAGCATTTCTAATTAAACTGAAATGAAGCTACTTTAATAATTTTCATGATGAAGGTCAGTGTAACACACACACACACACACACAGAGAGCGAGAGAGAGAGCGAGAGCGAGAGTCGGGTTTTAATATCCTTGTCAGGACATCTAATTGAAATAATAATAATAATAATAACTTTATTTATAAAGTGCTTTCAAATAAAGTGCTAAACAGCTATCTGACGATAAATAAGACAAATTTAAAAAAAAATACAGTTAAAACCTGATAAAACAAAAGAGAATAGCAATTAAAACTTTAGCCATAGAATTAAGTCACGAAATAATGCTTTCTCCAGCTGCTAACTAACCATCAAAAATGAATGCTTAACCCTAACCCTCAGCCTAAACCTGACCATAACCTGACTGTAACCTTGACATTAAACCACAGTTTGAGTGTCAAATATGCCTTCAGGATTTTGGTCCCCATAAGGTCTGTTGGTTCCCACAAGTACAGTAAACTTCTAATTTTTAGTCCCCACAAAGATATTAATACACGTACACGCTCACACACGCTCACACACACTCTCAGGCTGTGTGTGTTGAGCATAGATAAAGCACTTCATTTATATCCCCCGCTGGTTGCTGACTGATGGCTGATGGAGCCTGGGGTGGGGGTGGGGGGGTTGTTTCTGCCAGATGGTTTGATTCAGTTCCAAACTATTATCACTGTGACTGAGGGGTCAAAGGTCAAACTGTACTGTCTACTTTAATGTGAAGCTAATTTCAGCTGTGTTGGGTGAAAGAATAAGAAATTGCGCGGCTCTGTAGATACTGAGGAGGAGTCAGAGGAAATCCTTCCACTCTTCTTCATTCTTCCTCCTCATCGAGTCGGCTCACATTAGCAGAGTGTGAAGCAAAGATATCCACCCACACTGCTGAGCTCACACAGATTTATCACGTTTCTCCATCAGAGAAACAAACCACTGAGAAATCAGAAAGATGTTCCTGAATGAAAACGGCAGAATGAAAACGCTCATTTATTTATTTAGATTCATTCCCAAGTGATTACTGGCAACATTTTTATTTAGGCTGCTTTATGCCATAAACACACACTGATTCAGTGTGTGTTTTCATACAGAAACCAGTACATTAATTTTAAAAATATAACACAAGTAATTTACAAAATGTAAATTACAGGTGCATGAAAAGAAAAATCAATAAAATTTTATATAAAGTCGGTAACCATCCAGGTCGTCACAGTCTTGTCTCATCACAGAGGCCTCTTTGGTTCTAAAAGCAGCGTGGATTCCCGGGTGTTTCACCCCCGCTGGGTGGGGGACATCCCCACGGAGGTGGTCCTGAAGATCGTTGACCAACGAATCATCACAAGGTGTGAAAATTTTAACAATAATCTTGATTATGATAAATGCAAACAGATTTTTTTACGTTAAACAAGCAACTGTAAAACCAAATTTAAACTCTCCCCATCCAAACAAGTCATAGAGACAAAATGATCTTTAAATAAAATAAAATAAAAATAATTTAAAATAACGAAAATGCTTCTTTTTAATTAAAACAAAAGAATTTACAAAAAGCCGCACAAAGAAAAAAATATATAAATAAAATGAAAAAATGTGAGAATTATTAAATGTAAAATACAAAAGATAAAAATAAAATTAATTTCTTTATTTTTGTCTTTAAACAAGTAGAAAAGACAGAAAACAAAGCTGCTCGCCAGTAATCAGACTTCCTGAACAACAGCAGAAAAACACAGCATTAAAAGAAAAACCTTAAAGGACAGAAAAGCAGCTTCTCAGTTTGTCCTCTGCAGCGTTCAGACATTCAGGCCCGCGGGCGGCCACTCAACCCTCCAGAGACCCGCCTCTAATAGCCCGCCGCCTGGTTTCACATCGCTGAGCAACACGGCAAGCGGCTGGATGTTAAAACAGGCTGTCCAGCATGTGCACGAACACAGAACAAGAGACCCAAACACTGCAGCAGGCTCGAAACACTTGATGTAAAGGGGCAGAACACTCTGAGGATCAAACAGCTCAAATAAATGATCAAGAAAACACCAAACAGCTTCTATAATATGAGGATATACAAGTAACGGGACAAAATGAAAGACACAAACATGACCTCTCACAATTATCTGAACATTTATAGATCAGTCAGAGATCTGGGACGACACGCACAGACGTTCATTAATAAATTGGACTGTTGGGAAATCTGGCGGTGCATTCAAGGACACTCCCACATCTAAGATTTAATGTCATAAAATGCAGGAAATAACCAAATCGTTACCGACAACAGCCCATAGAAAAGCATGACAGTGTTTCTGATTCAGTCAAACATGAATCACAGAATTAAAAGCGTTTCCCACTCAGGACAATAAACACCGCCACAGAGAAAAGACAGCTCAGCGCTGCAGTGCTACATTTATTATTATTGTTGTTATTATTATTAGTAGTAGTATTAGTAGTAGTATTATGTCACATGAAAGGAGTCGGCCTTCATCTGTTACTTTTGTAATATGACCTTAACCTGCATCAGTTTTACTGACATCATTTGTTTATTAGCATCTCGCCTCTGTCTGTTTTATATTTTGAATATTTTAATATTTTATTTTAAAGTTTCACACTCTCCTTTATAAAACACATGATTTATGTAGGATATTAAATTATTAAGTTAATTTTTTTTAACAGGGCAAATTAAGGATATAATAAATATGAATAAATCTGAAATTATGGAAATACAATAAATATTATTGTATTTATTCACTCTGCAACTCTGTGCAGAGTGAATAAATATTTTTACACGAGTTCCTTAAACAGACGTTTACAAAAAGAGATTAAATTGTTCTTTTATCACTTTATTAAAATGATTCAGTAGATTTAGTTCTTTTCCAACCACAATTAGATCCCCAAAAAACCTGCAAAGAAAAATGAACATATTGTGTTAATGTCACCAAATATTAAATATTCAACACGGAAAGCCTGAGTAGGCGAGGTCACCTGTGTCACCTGCCGTCGTCGGTGATGATGTCACAGCGGCTCGTGTTCCGAAGGCCGGATTTGGGCCAGGGAGCAGAAATGTGCCCACATCAACGCCGCAGCACCTCGCCGTGTGACCATGGTGATGACATCACCTCTGCGGTTCTCTGGTGGGAAACGCAATCGACTCTATTGTGTTTTTATCCATTTCTACTGTTTCTGTATCAACAGAACAACATTAATTACGTGGTGATGATGGCGGCAGTGACGCTAGTGTGTCTTTAAACTTGTGTTTTCCCACCGGCTGCAGAAACCCGACATATGTTTACAGGAAGCCGGTCGTGTCTGTGCAGGTCTGAGCTGATAAAGCCAGACTGAGGATTATGGTAATAACAGGCTGCCACCGACTGACTGACTATAGAACGGGTGGGCGGGCTGCAGACTCTTATCAGCGTGTTGCAGTGGGCGATTCTTCACGTGGTCACGTGACGGGCGACACCTCGGCTCACAATGCAGCCCCATGAAGAGAAACTGCTCCACGGTTTTATCTCCAAACCAGAGAAAATGACTCAACGCCGCAGCGTGATTGTTTTAAAAATGTGGCATGTTCAAAAGCGAGGACTCAGACATCACATGTGATCGCTGATAATCAGTAATTACATTTTCCTCCGTGGTTATTGTCAGCTTCAGAGGGGGTGCTGTGTTTTTTCAAAAGCCTGCGAAAGTCCCCAAAAAAACAAACTGAGACAAAAATGTAAAGAAAAGAAAGTGAAACAAACATTTTGAGGTAAAAATCAGATTTCGTGCAGTCAGAGGAGAATATTTCAGCGGCGTTGTGGAGCTGACGCACCCCGCCATCAACTCATCAGATAAGAACGCCGCTCTGCGGCTCCTTCGGCCGAGCCAGTGACCTTCAGGTGATGGAGGCGGAAACACATTTCCTGGAGCAGACTTTTTTCAGAAGGACAGTTTCTTCTGTTCACAGTGAGATTGCGGAGAGGACGCCTTGTGTTTCCTTTCAGGACGCAGAATGGGATGAAACTGTATGTACAGTTGCCAAGGAGACAGCAGGCAGAGGGGTAGTTAGAGGCTGTTCACCAACACGCCCTCTGTTTTCATTCACGCCGCTTCCCTGCTTCATCTCCAGCAGTCACTTGAGGAGACGCTGGCAGAGCCCGGCACAGGTGAACTTTTCAGAGGAGTACTCCTGTTCGTGGTCCGGTGCTTACTCCATCCAGGAGACAACTTCACTCCAGCAGAGTTCCGAGTTTCTGCTCTGTGTCTTTGCAGAGGGAGTGCTGCTGCAGCTTTAAAGGGACATAATTGAGTGTCAGTGATCACCACATCAGCTAATGCAGGCAATCATCGAGCTCGACCCCCAAACAGAGACACAGATTCCCATCAGCAGCCTCAGCTGTGCGCCCGTCACGCTCCCACGCTCACTTCAATTCTCATTTCTCTTCTGGTTGCAGCTCGCTGGAGCCTGAGCTGAGGAATTATCTGCTGTCAGGACCTGCCCGGGACAGAAGTAGGGGGGGGTGAGCCATGCTGTCCGCCGCTATTCAGATCCTGGCGTTCGCCCTGGCACTCCTGGGCGTCCTCGGTGCTGTCGTGGCCACCCTGATGCCCAACTGGAAGGTGAGCATCAACGTGTGGACCAGCATCATGACCCCGATATCGCAGATGCAGGGTCTGTGGATGGATTGCGTGTGGTACAGCTCCGGCGTCTTCAGCTGTACCGTAAAGAACTCGGTGCTGTCGCTGCCGCCGCACCTGCAGGCCGCGCGGACCGGCATGGTCCTGTCCTGCGTAGTGGCGCTGTTCGGACTCTGTCTCGCCACTTTGGGGCTTAAATGTACTCGCTGGGGGGGCAGCCACAGAGCAAAGGGGCACACAGCCATCGCTGCGGGGGGCTGCTTCATCCTGGCCAGCCTCCTCTGCCTCGTACCCGCGTCCTGGTTCACCAACGAAGTCATCACTGCCTTCCTGACCACAGACGTACCGGACAGCAGTAAATATCAGCCCGGCGGAGCTCTGTGCGTCACGTTCATCTCTGCTGGATTCCTCCTGGCCGGGGGGGTCATTTTTTGTTTGTCGTGTCCCGGGAAGAGAACGAGACGACCGGATTGCGCTTCCCCCGCCGACCCCGACAGATTCACGCTGCACCCAGATGAGCGGAGGAGGCGGGGGCTGCAAGTAGAACGCAATCAGCCGAAAAACAGAAAGAAGACGGTCCAGCTGCAGGTAGACAGCGTGAAGCTGGAGAAACCCACGCCGCGCAAGAGACAGGAGCATCACTCGTCTCCATCCAAACTCCCTCAAACAGACATCAAGGACAGCTACAGCCTGCAGGAGTACGTCTGAAGCTCACGGCTGTACTGAAACGTGGAGCTGAAGCTGAGGCGCTCTGGCTCGTTTGGAGGGGGAGGTGTGTGTACATGGGAAAATTACCAAATGTTGGAAATTACAGATTGTGGGTTGAGTCGAAAGTCTCAGCAGCAGAGAGAAAAAATCTGCAGACTGTAAATCCTTTAAAAACTGCCTGCCACAGCTTTCTGATACCAAAGGCCTAAAGGCAAAAATACTGAACCTGCTGACTATGAGAAAAGAAAAAAAAACAGACATTCAAGCTGTGACTGAAATGGAAAAGCCATCATTTGACTTTATTTTCCAGCTGCAGCTGCAGTCTGCCTTCATACACTCAGCCATGCACTAACAGGGCCGGCCCAAAGCTTTCTGGGGCCATGACAGGACTTTAAAAGCCAAACCCCCCACCACACACACACCAAACGCTGCATTACACTTCAGAAAGAAATGTTGGCCATACATTTTAATAATACTGTGTAGATGATGTTTATGTGATGTTCAGATACATCATCGGATTGTGAATCTAAAATTTTAAAATAATGTCAAAAAGTTGAAAAAAAAACCCTGTTTGTTTGAATCAGCACATCCAGCTGAAGCTGTTAGTTTGGCAGATTTAAACTAAAGCCTGACCTCAGAGTGAGGCTCAAAGTCACCCGTCACTTCATACTGTGAAGTCTAAGTCGTTCATTTTGCTGTACATATCACACAAAGTGATAATTATTGGTGATCAAACTTAAGAACCATCAACATCAAAATGACATATTTTTCCCCCTGTGGTGCTGCATGTTCCTAAAAAACAGAAATAAATCAAAAGATCACACTAACAGTTCAGGATCATCTTATTTTAAAACATGCAGCCGATCAAAAAAAGCTTTAAGCAGTTTCATCACCACAGCAACAGCTCCGCCTGCTTGTCACTGTTTGTTCAGTGTGAATGAAACACGCCGAGTGCTTTCAGATCCATGACATCCACATTTAAAAAACAAGAGTAAGAACAGGATTGGATCATCTGCAGCTAGTTTTCAGTAATATCCAGTAAACAGGCTGATTCCAAATCAGCTGTTTGTTATCACAGAAAAAACACTTTGACAAGTCCAAGTGATTCTATCAGTGTTTTTATAATTACTGAGAAAGTAATCACAAGGTGTCTCAAAGGGCTGAACTTTTAGTCACAGAATATTAAAACTGTGGAACATATGAAGGGAATTTTAAAACACCTTAAAACGTCTAAAAACAGCCGAACAAACTTGATGAATTTTGCTACTTTGTATATTTTTGAGGTCCTCGAAGTTCAAACCCAGAAAATCTGTAATTTAATTTAATGTAACTCATTTTATCCACTTCACTCATTTTTACTTGGTTACACAGACACTTCCTCCATGTATATCATGGCATGAAATGCAGCAACAATATTCATTTTAATATTTTGTCAGTAGCATTCTTGCTCATCACTGTGTGTGATAATTGCTTCATACCAGCTGCTAAGCTAATTATGCTAATAAAGCTGACTGTAGCTGTTTTGCTAGATAACAGCACAGCCGTGAACCACAATGAAATCTGCCACAGAACGTTAGCAGCATTAGCAATATTAGCAACAGTCGACTCGCCTAACAAGAAATTAGCAAATAACAGCATGTTAGCTAATGTCACCCATAAAACTTTATTAGAATTCAATGATAAAGTGAATAAAGTGACTAAAAGTCATTGAATGGCATCTTCCATGAGTCTGGTTCTGATTTTGATGGACAATGATTTTTGTTTTGTTTAGTTCCTTCTCTTTTTTGTTCTTTAACACAAGGAGATGGCGAGTTTAAAAAAAATGTATGTCATAGCTCACCCTGCTCATGGTCCATCATAGTTCACAGATTATTGTCTGTAACATCACAAACATCACCTTGGGCACAATTTCTGAAAAGACCCATTAACTGATAACTGTGTGCAAGTTTCATTAAAATCATATCAAAACTGTAGAAGACGTAGGAATCGCTGTGAGTTCTCACTGGTCCTTCGGCCAGATGAGCTAAAGAACAATTTTAAAAACTATGTGGTGAGAATAAAATTATTAAACAAAAGTTTATTTTAAAAAACTGTTGCCTAAGTAATATTTTATTTTAGTTTATTTGTATTTTCCATCTAATTATTTGAAACTTTTGAGTTGATTTAATCTGTAATGCACAAAAAAAGCTGCCTTACTTCATGAGAAATATCCTGTGATTCACAGCAAATCTTTCTGGGAGGATTAGCGACACCAGTAAAATAAAGTGTTAAGCACTGCTATAATATCAGTGTCCAAAAAGAAGAAAATCAGGTGCATAGTTCCATGTGGTCATGTGCCCCCTGCTGGTCAGAGGCTGTGGTTTCAGATTGAGTTCATGCTGTCAGTGATTCAGTTGCTGTTTAAAGTTAGTGAACGGTGCTGTTGAACAGATTGTGCCTGAAGCAATAAAAACAATGACGAGCTTCTTGATTTCAGTGTGTTTGTAGATTTAAAGTCCAAATCCAAAGCATCTACCCAAAAACATCCACTCCACATTTTCCTGATGTTTTGGGGGGAGGTGAGAGGTGCACAGCAGCATGGAGAGAGGTAATGATGCTCTTTGCTTTCCCATTATCCTCTCACCACGGATGGATGCACACAGCACACAGACCCCCTCCACAGCATCCCGTGTCAGCTGAATGAGAAAGACATGAAGTCATTTTCTGGATGTAAATTAAACCCTGATGGAGACTGGAAGCTCCGCAGTCTCATGTGCATTTGGTGGGCGAAGTGTCCTTTAACCTGAGTGAGCTGTCAGTCACATGATCACCCATCAAGGAAAAGAGCACTGAGCTGAACGCCCATGCTGTCGATTTGTCTGCAGAAGCATTTCAGTGTCAAACCCTTGAGGAACAAGTTCATAAAGAAAACATTACACATTCATGAAAAGATCAGAACCCAGCAAACAAAGGCTGAAACAGCAGCGCTTCTCCCTCAGTGCAATCACATTACAACCATATCTGAAAAATGTGGTTGGCTTAGTTAGTGAGGATGATTTGACCTTTAGATAAAGGACAAATATGTGTAAATCCTTAATGTACAGTTCCTGCACTACTAGAACTTGGATAAAACACAACACAAGTCACACCAGGATACTTACTGCTGTATAACTGTAGAGAAAGAGTATACATTTTATTCATTATTTTGAACATGTCAAAGATTTTCAGTTCTCAGTACACCATACAGAACAATAACCAACCTGGGAGTGAGGTGTCTTTCTACCACACTGTTAGCATTTCTCTGCACAAAGTACACCAATCTGGGTTATTTTCCGCTTCAGTATCTTCGATATACTATTGCTATGTGATGTATTACTATTACTGAAGGCTGCATTACAACCTACTAGCTGCAATTAATGATGTACAGTTCTGAAAGCAGAAAAAAAACATACTACTGATGCAGAAATCGTTTTCTATACGAGATCACTGTAAAAAGTGCAGCCTTACTAATGGCCACCGTACTGTTACTCATTTTATATTAAGATTTAAAAAACTGCAGAACTGCACATGATTATTTGCAGGTTGTTAATCCTATCCATCAAGTCTAATAGTCCGCAGTCTATGAACTAACCTCAACTAACGTCAGCTAATAAAGTTAGCTCGGTGGCGAGTAGCCTTCAGCAATACTAATAAATCACGCAGCAATAATACATTTATGTAGCTGTAAAAAGCGTGACTATATAAGTAATCCAAAGTATTCAGAGTACGTTACTCACATTGAGTAACATAACGGAATACGTTACAAACTAAATTTTGGGTCATGTATTCTGTAATCTGTAGTGGAATACATTTTAAAAGCAACCTTCCCAACAGAAATGCAGAGGAGACCGTGCCTTTTCAATTGCGGCTCCGATGCTCTGGAATAACCTTTCCCTCCAAATTAGACAAGCGTCATCAGTGCAGGTTTTTAAGTCCAGATTGAAAACCTATTTTTATTCCCTGGCTTTTAACTCTGTAGGAAACTGACACCTTCTTATTTATTTTATTGTATGTAATGATTTTATGGTATTTTTAATTTGGTTGTTGTTTTGATCTGTGTTGTTCAGCACTTTGGTCTGCCTGGTGTGTTCTTAAAGTGCTATACAAATAAACGATGATGATGATGATATTAGTAACACACTACGTTATCGTAGATTAAAATCCGGCAGCGCTTGAAAGGTCCCCCTTCTTAAGCCAGCACATGTCCAGTCCTGTCTAAAATTTGCCAGAGACCATCTGCATGATCCAGTACAGGATTGGGAGAATGTCATGTGGTCAGATGAGACCAAAATAGAAGTCGTTGGTATAAACATTGAAGATGAAACATGGCTGGATCTTCCAGTATGACAATGATCCACACCACCTATAGGGAACGAAAGAGTGGCTACATAAAAAGCATTTCAAGGTTCTGGAGAGGCCTAGCCAGTCTCTAGACCTCAATCCAATAGAGAATCTGTGGAGGGAGTTGAAAGTCTGTGTTGCCCAGTGACAGCTCAAAACATCACAGCTCTTGACCAGATCTGCATGAAAGAATGGGTCAAAATACTAGCTATGGTGTGTGTAAACCTGGTGAAGCAATTTTACATTACATATTGAGGTGAACTGTTATTGACCAAATACTTATTTTCTGCACCATTATACAAATAAATTCTTTAAAAATCATACAATGTGATATCCTTGTCATGGTCCTGGGTCTACGACGCAGTGTTTTGAGTTTTATGCTGTTATTGATCTTTGATTTCATGATAAGTTTTCACTGCTAGTCTCTTGGTTTTGGTTTTTAGTATTTCTAACTCCCTAGTTCTTTAGTATATCGTGATTTCTAGTTTTTAGGTTTTGTTTATGTGCCTTCCCTGTGTTCTGTGTTATGTCTACTCTGTGCCTTCCTGTCCCACTTTTCAGATCTCTGTGTTCTCTGTGTCTTCTTTGTCATCCTTGCCTCAGTGTTTGTGTGTTTCTTGTTTTAATTTGAAAGTCCAGGT